GATTAAATTTTTCAAGTCAAATGTGGTGGTACATGCATGCAATCTGAGCACTTTGGAGACTGAGGCAGGAGGACCAAGACTTCCAGCTAGAGAGATGTTCAGCAGTCAAGAGCTCTTGCTGCTCTTCCAGGGGATCCAGGTTCAACTCCCAGCACACACATGGCAGCTCACAACCATCTCCAGTTCCAGGTCATACAATGCCCTCTTCTGGCCTCCATGGGCCCTGAGATGTATCTCAGTGGCAGATGGTTTGCTTAACATATGTATGACTCTGCGTTTGGTCCCCAGAATTGGAAAACAACAACAAACTAACACACACACACACACACACACACACACACACACACACACACACACACACAATGCTAGAAGAAATTAAAGAACTATGAGAATAGAAAGATAATCCATAAACCCATGTTCATTAATTAGACCATTTATTATTATTAAAATGTCAATACTTCCCACATCTATTTACAGATTTGAAGCAATCCCAGCCACTGGCACAATAGGCTTCTGGACCAATGGGAAAGACTTAGGCATTTATGGCCAATTGAACTTTTGTCAGAATGCCAAGGCTATTAAACATATCCCTATGGGAGAATTATCTCTTCAGCAAATGGTGCTGGCCCAACTGGATACTCAGGTGCAAAAGAATGAATTTGGAATTGTTCTCTGCACCACATGACCACAAAATTGGCCAACAACATGAGTATAATTGCTAAAAATCACGTGACTATCAGAAGAAGATAGCAAATCTTCAGTTGAGATTTTGCAATGGATTTCTTGATAAAATGTCATCGAGATTACAAACATTTATGAAACAAAAGATAAAGTAAAAATGATAGGACAGTGTGCACAATGAAAGACAGCATTTTAAAATCAAACATCTGAGATGGACAAATTCAGTAAAAAAAAAAATGAACAAAAGACAAATAAACAAGTCTGCAGACAACACTCATCCACTTCTTATAAACTCGTGAAAATTAGTCTCTAGGACACTGCATATCAAACCCACAATGACCGCTCTGTAGCTACCAACATGACTATAATTAAATAGGAAAATGGCAAGGGATGGTGAAAGCACAGAGAAAGGTAGACCACCACCCCCTACATTGCAGTTTATATCCTTTATAAAGGCATCAATATGCATCTTAAAAGATGATGCCATTGTTATACAAGGATACCCCAAAGGCTAATGTGTCAAAGGCTTGGTCTTCAACTTGGTAGCACTGGGAGAGAGTAGAATGTTGAGGAGGTGTGGCTTAGTAGATGGTTAGGTCATTGGAAGAGTATTCTTGAAGGGAACCTCAATGAGACCATGCAATATTGACCAGCCAGGCATGGTGTGCCAACTAGAGCAGCAATAACATGACATCTCTGATGTAACTAAGCAGTTTCTCATTGGATTTGAGGTCTGCTCCATAGGAGGGAATTTCATACCTGGTACTAGACTCTTGGTCAGAAGCCCGTGGCTGGGGAGATCACAGGCTCTAGGTAGAAGGTGCTATTGTTATCTTGCCAAATAGTCATGCTGTCAAAATGCCTTCTAGATATTTATGCTTACACCCATAGACCTGGGCTGCTCTCAACCATGGTCAAAGGGAGCTTCTGTTTGCAGTCAAGAGCAGTCAATAGAGAGATGGTTTACTGATCAAAGAACTGAGACCTAATGATGAGCCCTAAATGGAATGTCTGTGTAAATCTCACTACCACAAAGAATCAGGGAAAGTTGAAGAAGAGGAGGTAGAAAGAACACAGAGCTGGAGGATGGGAAAGAGTGCTGTGAGATGCTGACTTCTGGATATGGCATGACCATTACAGCCATGAACTCACAGCAACTGTGGTTACCTGTACAAGGTCTAAACAAGATCAAGCCAACCAAAACCCTGGCATGCAATGTGGTGGGTGATGTACAGGCTCCACCCCTTCCTGAGGAGCTACTGGTAGTGGCCACTTGCTGGAGGAGGGAAAACTATTCTGTTTTGAGGAGGTAGGACTGGTAGGTTCCCCATGCATCCTGTATTAGGATGGGCTCACACCTATTTGCATATGGGCAGCACTAACTGGACTTAGTGGTTTTCAAAGAACAAGTTGGGAGTAAAGCATGAGAAAGTTGGAAAGGGGAATTGGGAAAAAGATATGGTCATATTTTATATATTTATAAAATTCTTAAAAATAATTAAAATTTAAAGTAGAGCTAAAACATTGTATGCATGTATTAATATACTATGACAAAACATATTATTATGTATAATTAATAGATGAACTAAAGCTTTTAAAAATTGAAAAAGTTGTGCCGGGCAGTGGTGGCACATGCCTTTAATCCCAGCACTAGGGAGGCAGAGGCAGGCAGATATCTGCAAGTTCGAGACCAGCCTCGTCTGCAAAGTGATTTCCAGGAAAGGCACAAAGCTACACAAAGAAACCCTGCCTTGAAAAATCAAAAAAAAAGAATTGAAAAAATCTCTAATCTCAATCACTCAAATTTAGAACATGTAAAATATTAGATATTTCTTTAGAAAGCATATTGGAGATTCTTTCCTTTTTACTATCTGTCTATCTATCTATCTATCTATCTATCATCTATCTATCTATCTATCTATCATCTATCTATGTATCATCTATCTATATATCTATCATCTATCTATATATCTATCATCTATATATCTATCATCTATCTATATATCTATCATCTATATATCTATATATCTATCATCTATCTATATATCTATCATCTATCTATCTATCATCTATCTAAGTATGTGGTGGTGGGGCAGGATCGGGGGGAGGTAGTGGCAGGATGGGGGGGAGGTAGTGAGTGTCTATGTGCCACAGCATGTATGTAGAAGTCAGAAAACAACTTGATGGAGTCAGTTCTCTCCTTCCACTTTGTGAGTCCAGAGACCAAACTCAGGTTGCCAGCCTTCGCAGCAGGTGCCTTTGCCACCTGAGTCATCTCACTGGCCCCATAGGAAAGATTCTTAACTTCCACGCAATTTCTGTGTCCTTTTGCATATATATAGTATGACTTCTGGTTTTGTGGTATGCACATGTGTGTCTCTGAATCTCTGTGGTTCTCGTGTTTTTCTTTGTCTCTTTTCTTTAGTTTGTTTTATCCTATTCTGGTTTGTTTTATCTTACTTTATTTTATTGTTATTCTTTACATGCCTGTTTGTTTACTAACTAGAGAAAGATAGAGCATGGATTCTGAAGGGAGGGGAGGTAGGGAAGGTCACAGAGGAGTTGGGGGAGGGGAAACCATAATCAGAACATATTGTATAGAAAAAAATCAATTTTCAATAAAAATAGAAAAAATAAACTATAATACTTACAGAAAGATAATTTTTCAAATTTTCTAAGAAGAAGCTTATATTACTTTTCGAGTGGGACACGAAAGGAGGAAAGAAACTTGAAGAACGTGCAGGTAACTTCCAATGTATCAAACACAAGTCATCCCACTGAGCCCTCCTCTCTCACCATTGCTCTGTGAGTCAGTTCAAGGATCAGTACTGCTAAGACTTACCGACAAGAAGAAAAGTTGATGTGAACACTGTACACAGGATAATCTTCCATGATAGAGTTAACCTACAAAGAACAAAGAGTGTTAAAGGCTTAACAATGTAATCCATTGCTGTTAACTTTTAACGTGGACTTTAAACTAGTCAGGACACCCAAGGCCACAAGCTTGATTCGTCTCACTCCTGGCTGCTCTAGATTAATTCCATGAGGTTATTTATTGTCTGATCTGTGATCTTTGAAACTGACAGAACATAATTTTCAAGATGGTGTATGTGCACTACGTTCACATTCCTCCTTCACACACATGTATTGTGATGCTATTGGGTTCCTATTTATGGTCTTTAAATGTTTTTAAGCAAACAAAGTTTTTCTAGAAGTCAAAAATGATGAATGCACTACATGACATACGACTGAGGTTAAATGAGTTCACCAGACTGGTCCTTAAACTGATAGGACTGGTAACCTTAAACTAGAAGAGACTGGACGGCTATCCATGTGCCATCTGGACATGGTGAGAAGGTGATTGTCTTTGAGACAGGCAGAGAACCTCCACCAGAGCCATAGTTATCTGGAGACTTGGCTTTGAGCTTCCTTGGCTTCCAAACTATGAGAAAAAAAAAATCAATGTTATTTTTAATCTCCTAGCCTCTGGCTTTTAACTGTGGCCCAAGAGACAAGTAGACCTACCTAATCCAGAACAAGCCCTCTTGTATTTATAACTCCCACTCTGAAAGTGTCTCTTTTGAGATCTATTTCTGCTCAGTGTCAGGTGTGTTTGGTTTTGTATGTCTATAAATGGACATATGTGGATAGTTCCATCTCTCTACCCTTTCTCAGCCCTGTGCTATGAACTACCATGCTGTTGTGTGCAGTTGTAACTCCCCATTCCTACGAGTGGCAAGCACCTTACCCCTGAGCTATACCCCAAGTTCCCAAATTCAACCTTCAAGAAAAAAAAAATCCCTGAAGGAAAAAAGGATGCTAAAACCATTTGAGCTTGAATCTGTAAACATCTGGACCAAGTATTCCAGGCTGGCAAGCCAAAAATCGGTCCTTATGAGTTAGAAAAACCAGATGATGATGTTTGCAACTGGTAGGTGACAAGTAGATGCAACAGGAGAAGCCCTGCCTCCGAAATTAGGAAAGGCCAGTGACACCTGTCCCAACATGTCAAGTCACTCCACAGCATGGCTCTCAGCGTCTCATCTGTTAGCTCTGAACTAGACTCTATCACCTGAAAGGCAGGGTTGTGAGGAAGGGCTAAGAGGGTGACCTCATCTGGAAATGATGTCATCTACATGTTGACACCCTCCTTTCTTTAAAATTTACTCTACTATTGTGTTCAACTCTCGGTAAACAGGTTACTTACATCGCAAGTTAGTTGACCAAAGGGTGTAGGAAGTGGGTCTCTCACCAACCCTCCTCCCAGGTGTGATGTCAGCTAGGCTTTGTGAACCACAGCTCACAAAGAGAAACTTGAATTCCCCGGATACAGAACCTAAGCAGCTTGACTCCCCCTCCTTGATCGCGCTGAGCTTCAGCTAGGGCTGGGTGGCAGAATATAGGCAGTGCCAAAAGCAACTAGAAGACTGGTCCTGATCCTTCTCCTCTAAGGTAGCATGGGGTTCTTGTTTTGTTTATTGAAAACCAGGCTGTGACATGGTCTCAACACTCTAGAGAGTGTCATGTACCTCTAATCACAACTCTTTGGTAGGCCGAATTACATGAAAATCACCGAATTACCATGTTTTCTAAAACTTAGGGAGTTTTTTTCCCCCATTATTTTTCTTTTTAACTAGAAAGCTCGGCTGCCAGGCCCTGCTTTGTGAAATTCTTTCTATCTCTTCACCTAGCCTGTGAGATTCTGCCACTAAAGGCCAGCATGTGTCATTACTGGAATTTTCAAGGTTGTTCTTCTTGTACAAGGTCACTATTGTATTAATAGTCCTTTTTTTTTGCGGGGGGTGGCCAGTACTGCTTCTGTTTGGGTGCTCTCTTACAGTTGTAGTCATGGTGGCTATCAGTGTTTCAACCCTGCCCCCAGGTTGGGGGAGCAGCAGATTTGGCTCACTCCCTAGATTGGGCTTGCTCTCTCTCTCTATGGGAAACTTCTTACCAGAGGAAGCACAATTATTAGCACAGAATGTGCACCAACTCTCAGGCTGTCCATTCTCACCCACAGGTGCAGTAAATGCTTCTCTGGTCCCGTGTGCGAAGTCCAGCACTAAGGTCTGTATAGTCCGGATCCTCAGTGAGGCCCTGTGACCACAGACCATACCATCTGTATGATTTGTTACCACTGCCAAGGTTCACTCTTCCGGAGAGCGTGACTCCTCTGTCTTAATCCTTTTCCCTTGTCCACTGTGATTAATCAATATTCAATAGCAAATGACTCGTGTGCCATTGGCAGTACTATGATTGCCAGCATCACGGAAAACTGGAGATGATTTCCTCCAGGAAGAACACTTGTTGAGTTATTTTAAAGGGCGACAAGGCATGAATGTATACCCTACACATTAGATCTCAGTAGGGGATGCTGGTGGATGTCTATAATTCCAGCATTTAGGGCAGGAGGATTGCCTTAACTTTAAGACCAGTCAGAGCTATGGTATGAGGGCCTGTCTCCAAAACCAGAAAAGAACAGGTATATGGGAATCATTCTGCAAAGTGACATCCGGGTTCATGTCCGGGCTTCTTGCCCTGACAACAGGACATTAACACTCAAAGTGCTGCTGGGTTCTGCAGAACAATCCTGAAAGGGCTGTCTATCCTTCCTCTGCTTTGTTCTTTCACTCCTTCCCTCCCACAAGTTACAAAGAGCTCATAGAATAGTGAACACCGTTTGTTTTCCCATCCCTGTTTTATGGGAAGCAGGAAGCCATCCGCATGGTTTTGGATGTATGTCTTCTTTACAGATACTCCTTGTCCAACAGCCAAACTGTGAGTGAGTAAATTTAGAAAAGTCCAGTGATTCACTGTTGCATCATTCTTTGTGACACCTCACAATGGACAGCAGGTCACCACACCCATGCAGGGATTGTGTGCACATAAGCCTCTCTGGGTGTCTCTGCTTCCCACGCCTTACTGTATCAGATTTCAAACCTAATGAACAGTGCAAAGATCTTCTATGCGCCTACTGCTTTGCTACAAAGACTTGGGATGCTTGGATGTGTTTGTTTCAATACTCAAAGATATCAGAAACAGTGTAAGAACCAACCCCCCAATCTCATTCCTCTCATTTTCCTCTGAAGATAAATAACTTAGAAATCATTACTGTACTTCCATATAATTTTTAAAAACATATTTACAAATAATATGTTTTAGACAAAATAAATGCTACCCTATGTTATGTTTCAATTTCACATGTCTTGAGATATATTAACCCAGTTCAGTCACTCCACCTGCTCTATAATATTTATTATACAGCCGTTCATTTCCCCATTTCTCCACATAGGTATGTTTAGTTTGTTTTCCGTGATAAAAACCATGTTCTGCACTACCGGTTTCTGCATGTATACCAGAGTGCATTTTAGTTACACATCTAGAAACTAAATTGCTGCATGGCAGGGTGACTTGGCTTATTTGGAACACACAACTCTAGGGTGACAAATTAACTCTCAACACTTAGCAGCCTCTGGTCATATCTATTTTAAAATGTGAAGTTTGTGGACAGATGTCAGCAAGATGACTCAAGAAAAATGTCTCCTGATCGTCTCCCCAGTGCCTATGTTTTGGTGGACATGATGAATAATGGTGCTTTTGTATTAGCTTTGGGATCTGGGTGGGAATTTTGAGATAACAGTGGAACCCGGGACTGAACAGGGACGTTGTGAGAAGGACGACTCATTCTGTTCAGTGACACAATTACTTACTGTGGCCCCAGCTAAAGACCCAGAATTTTTTCCCCCACTTTAGACTTGACTGCACACATGATGTCCTCAGTTCTGCCTGTGAACCCAAAAGTCATCTGGGACCAAGTAAGAGTCCCTCCCCCAAGCCACACAGTCTGGAAACAGTCCTGATAGTCCTGATCATCCTGGCCACAGTAATTGCAGGGGAGACACACCCATCATCTTGGTCTGGGGCAGGCACGTCAACCATCCAACAGCAGATTCTGAAGCATGTCTGTAACACAGCTCTATCCATGTAACATGCTTTAGCTGTGACCCGGGTCATCTAGTCTGTCCAGATACCCATCAGGAGACATGGCCATCCAACTCCTAAGAGAAAGTCCCACTGATCTTTATGTTATGGAAGGTCCTGACACATGTCTGTGAACTGAGGTGGAAGAGCAGTTGTTATGCCCACCCAGGAACCTATTGGGAAACGAGCCCATCTTACCCCTAGAGGCAGGCCTGCTGACTTTAGTCCTAGCTGTAGGCTCTGGAGCAGCCCTTTGGCTTGGTTCCCAATCTTCTTCACTCATGTCTAAGTGACAGCAGAGGCTGCCCCAGGGACCCTCGTAGCAGAACAGCGAAATCCCCTGCAGACCCTGCAGGACCTGTGTCTGCTCACATACCAAACAATAGACCTGTATCTGAAGATACCACTGTGGATCTTGAACTTGATCCACCACAGCGCCAATTCCACTGATTAGTGTGCTGGAGGCATTCTAAGCTAGTGCCAGGGATACTTTAGCCTCTAGCAACAGGTCACACAACGGAAGACAGCAGCAGTCAAGATGTTTGACTAAAATTTGCTCTATAGATACTTTTCTATCAGCCTGAAGACACACCGGGATGAAGTCTTTGCCAGCTGAAACCATTCTGTAGACTGGGAATGTGATTGCTCCATCAGAGGCACAGGCGTTGTCCAAGTCTCCTGGGATGACAAAGTACCAGGCAAGCAGGAAAAAATAAGGTTCAAGTGATGACCCCAAGGGAATGGAGATCTGCTAATTACCTGATTAAAAAAATAATATAGATAACTGAGTTTAAAGAAGCTTGGTGAAGTGCAAGAGAACACAGATAATGAGACGAAGTCAGAACAGTAACACACCAGCAAAAACAAGATGTCAAAGAAAATAGGTACATTAACAAATGATCAGACATCTTTGATCCAAACTTGCAGTAACAGCCGGAAATTTTTCCATAGAGAGACTCGGCAACAGATTCAGTCATCTGAAGAAAGAATAATCAGAGATATTCTGCTTGAAGCCCTGGAAGACAGTTCAGTGGGAAAAGTGCTTACCCTGCAAACCCTCTGACCTGACTTAGCCCAGGGAACATGACGAGGTCGAAAGAGAAAACCGACTTCTGAAAATCATCCTCTGTCCTCGACACACACACAGGGAGGGTGTCCCGGACACTTACACACATTCACACTAATAATAATCCACAAAAGTTAAAACTGAAGAAATAAGAAGCAAAAAGATAGTCTATTTGAAATTAATCGGTTTGAGGCGATAAAACACTGAAAATGGTGGGGAAACCGTGCAAAATAGCATACATGCAAATAGGTTGTCATGAGCACAAAAAGAAGAGACAGGTGATTATTTAAATAACTACCAATTGGTGATGTCCTATATTGTGGCAGTGACTGGGACATTTGGACTTGTGATGCTTCCAGGTTAAGAAAGATTGGTCCCCAAAACACAACCTGCTGGGGGCACAAATGTCCTTGTGCCCACAGATCACAAGGGAAACCAGGAAACACAATGGCCTCCTCTCAATGGGGAAGATAAAATACCCGTTTTCCTGCCCAGAAAGCTGGGAGTAGAACAATCTGGTAGCCCTTTTGCTATCTGTGGCAGCAGACCTCACCCACTTTTTGTTAAACAGACAAACCTCACCCAAATCCCCAAGAATGTTTATCCCAGACTCCTTCCCTCCCCAGTTCGTTACCCATCCTTAGAGGGGGTGTCACATGTACTTCATAGCCTGCTGCCTCTTACACTATCTTGATCAGAGACCACTCTAGATTCTAGGCCTTTTAGCTATAGAACCCACCATTATGGTCACGTGTATTTTGTAAAGGAATTTCTATGTCGTCACACCTTAACCTTTATTGTGCACCTGAAACTGGAATGCTTGTTGCCTGGAAACCTTTTTTCCAGATTGTACTGAGTTTTAAATATGCTGACGATGAACCACCTGGCATTAGACTCCCCAAAGTTGGATCCAGGTTGATGAAGTCGTTCTGAACCGGTTTTCATTCTCATCTCTTCTCAGATCACTGCCTGCATGGTCCCCCTCAACCATCTAGAGATACTGCAACTGAATCATCAAAAGACAGAGAACTTTAAAAGCACTAGGAGAAAACTCTTGTCCCATAACACAGACCTTGGACGGAAACTGGAGAGGGGAAGATGATGAGCTCAGAATTCTAAAAGAAAAGAAAAGCTGTCACCCAAGCAAACCTGGAGAAGCTGTCCCTCGAGGATAGGACAGGCTGGAGAGATGGCTCAGCAGCTCAGAACACCTGCTGCTCTTGGAAAGGACCTGAGTTCAGTTCCCAGCACTTACATGTTGGCTAGAACCTGCCCATAATTCCAGTTCCGGGGAATCGAACACCTTCATCTAGCCCAATGGTTCTCAACCTGTGGGCTGCAATCCCTTTGGGGGTTGCATATCAGATGTCTTGCACAACAGATATTTAGATTACAATTCATAACAGTCACAAAATTACAGTTATGAAGTAGCTGCAAAGTAATTTTATGGTTGGGGTGTCACCACAACATGAGGAACAGTATTAAAGGGTCACAGCACTAAGAAGGTTGAGGACCACTGTTCTAGGCTCTGCAAGCTTCTGCATGCACCCAATACACATACATACAGGTAGGCAACATACTGATATGCATCTGAAATTTTAAACATTTAAAAAAGAAATAAGTGAGATAAACACATTGTCAGAAACAAAGCAGAGAGGATCATCAGCACTGGCCATGACTTGTAAGACCCACCTCATAAGGAACCCTGGTGATTACTCAAGTTTGAATGGCAGGGAGCCAGATACTAGTAGTAGCAGACAGAAAACTCACTGGTGAGCATTCAGAGGTGAACTCTGAATGCAGTTAACACTGGAAGGAGGGTGGGCAGGCAAAGCAACTGGAGTTCACAGGCTAGTGGATAAAAGAACTGTAACCACCACATCGTGTTATTAAAAAAAAGATACAACATATGGCATTACTATAAAAAGATGTCGGGAAAAGTGGAAGTGTAGTTTTGCATGTTTTTGAAGTTATCTGCTTTAAGACAGGCCATTTTAACTACAATGTTTTATGTAAGTTTCACAGTTACCACACACAAAAGGAAAACTTGAATAAATAAGAAATGGTGAGAAATCACAGCACGTGGCTGCAAAAGAATAAGCATCACACACACACACACACACACACACACACACACACACACACACACACACACAGGCATATACACAGTCATAAAAACAAAACAAAAACAGAAAACCAAGTCGTATGTGACAATGTTCATGAACTCAGAGGACAATGAGCCAGACACACAGCACGCGGCACAGCCTCACATGTGGAAGGCAGAGCATCACATTTACAGAAGCAGAAAGCAGCGTGGTAGTTACCAGAGGCTGAGGGGTGAGGGCAACCGGAGTCGGGAGAGGCTGTCAAACACAGCCTGAGTCAGCTCTAAGACTGAGAGCCGTGAGGAGCCAGCATGCTGCGCGTGACTGTTGCTAACCATTCTGCCTGGAATCGCTGGAAAGGGTAGGGAGTAAGTGTTCCTCCCCCACCACACACTAAAAAGACAAGTGTGAGGTTCTGGATTCGGCAATTACTTTGACTGGGGTAATCTTTTCACATTGCATACATATATTGAAGGACAAATTGTATATCTAACGTATATCAAATTTGCGTTAGTTATACCTCAAACTGAAACATCAAAATGTCCCATTTATTTATTTATTTATTTATTTATTTATTTATTTATTTATTTATTTATTTATTTATTTATTTATTTATTTTGATTGAGAAAGCACTGGAGAAAGTGCTTACAGAAATCAGGCTTCTCTTGATGATGTCTATGGACACGATGCCCTTGCTTTTTTGATAAGGTTGACAACCCAAACTGCTACATGACATAAGTATATGTCAAAAGGAAGAGTCTGACCTTGAAGTAGTTCAATTATCACTGAACAGAAAATGAGAAATTAAAACGTCTTGGTTTGTGGAAATGTGCCATACTTGTACATTGCCTGATCAAAGGGAAAGCCGGAGCCTCTGGCAGGAACAAGGGCAGGAAAGGGGCTCACACTTAGGCATTCTAGCTCCCTAGAATGGGAGTAGTTTGTAGTAAGGATGCAAAGAATTGGAAAGATAGAAAGTCCTGCTCATTTAAAAACACAGCTGTGGCCAGTCAATGGTGGTGCACACCTTTAATCCCAGCATTCAGGAGGCAGAGGCAGGTGAATATCTGTGAGTTTGAGGCCAGCCTGGTCTACAAAGTGAGTTCCAGGTCAGGCTCCGAAAGCTACACAGAGAAACCCTGTTTCGGGGGGGGGGGGGAACAAGACAAAAACACAGGTGCATTCATTCAACAAGGGTGAACCAACAGAGTCTACTCGGCAGGAAGGAAGGGCCAGAAAGCTTTGAAACTCGGGAATTTGTACATATGCACCTTTTCCTTTCCTCGAAATGCTTATAAGCAGGAAATATCCACATATGTCTACCAACAAAGGTAGATAACAAAGGATAGGGTAAGACTGCATGACAAAGAATATCCCATGCTTCCAGAGCCTGAAGTCATTCTGTGTCAGAGGCACATGTGAAGAAACTTAGGAAATAAAGACATGGAGATGTCTCTCAGTACGAACAGGCCATTCTGGAGTCATTTTTCATTTGCATGTGCCTAGATTATTATGCATATAGTACCTGAAAATTCCTTCATTTCAGTAATAGACCAAAGGTCAAAGCTGTCTTTTTAAAGCATTAGTGCCCTTCATCACCACTCAGCTCATGATTGTGGCTAGGGAAAATGCCAAGATTTTCTATTAACCCAGTTGAGAAGTAGAAAGACACGCTGTGTTAGTCATCACAGCTCCAGCTACTATAATCAGCTGTTTTTAAAAATAAACCCTCTGGATTGTATGATCCTCTGGTCTGGTGATGGTGTGACTTCCAGGAATGGAAGCACTTGTGTGTGGTGATAAGTTAAGTACCTATAGTCAGGGGACCAAACATACTATTCAGTATAGAGACTGATACTATGTGATGGTATCTGAATATTTGAGGTCTATCATAATACATTAGAGCTGGGAGCTAAGTACACACGCACGCACACACGCACACACGCACGAGCGCACACACACACACACACACACACACGCACGCACGCACGCACGCACGAGCGCACACACACACACA